GGATGATGTTGGAATAGGAGTGAACGGATGCGCCTTTCATTTCTTCTACCATGGTTGGGAGGTTGTGTTGAAGATTGGCGGATTCTCGGACGTGGATGCCGGTCCACATGGGTGGTTCTCCAGCGGGCTGCATCGTCGTGGTGGCGGCTATCAATCTTGGTAGTGTGGGCAGCAAGAGGTGTGCGGAGGGTGGCTTGGGTGGTCGTTTTGTCTTGCAGTGACGACACCCTGATCCAGACCTAGGGAGCTGGTCTCGTCGCGCTTGTCCTAAAGATACATGCTATAATCTATGTCAATATAATAGCGCATACACGTAGAGGGAGTCAACGGCATGTACCGATGTCTGGGTGGCCGATGTATGATATTGTGTGGAGGAGCCCTAGGCGATATATAGCCGCTGAATAGTGAACCTTCTAAACAAATCTCGATGTTGTGGCACGTGCGATTGCTTGATCTCGATAGATCGACGCCGGCCTCAGATTATCGAAAAAGGCTTTTGCCTCGCTTTATATATAAAGCAAAGATCAACCACAACCCACATACAAACGCACCCCACGACAACACACGCACACACACCCAAGGTGGGATACATAGGTGCTGAGCGCAGCAACACCACTCCTAACACTACAAGAGCAATCGAGGACCTCCATCGTGAACACGCCACGGCGAAGAGATGAAGCCGCATATGACGAACCGTGAGCTCCAAGGCGGCGCCTCCAAGAAGGTTACGACGCCAACGCGCCGCCACCGCCCGACCCGGGGGTCAGAGTTTCCCCTAGAGCGACACAATGACCGGTGAGAGCCGCGACGACGCCTTCAAGAAGGAAGCGATTACGCCGCCGCCGGTTCGTCCGAAGATAGAACAGGTTTTCACCCCAGCAAACACTCACCGCCACCGAACGCCACACCCCTGCCACCATGCCGCCCACACGGCCATGGTCACCGGGCAGCACCAAGCCACGACCTCTGTCCATGAGCACCGCACTACCATCACCAGGGCCGCCGCCCCGACATCCAAGACCTTGACACCACCTCACCCGAGACCCGTCGCTACCCCAACCAAAGAGATGAGTGGAAAGGCCACTTCTTTTCACACCCCTGGGCGGCCCCCACGCCGAGACCCAAAGGGCCGGCCAAAAATGGCCTTCATTTGCACCGGGTGCGAGACGAGCTCGGTCCTGCTGCCGGGCGCGAGACGGGCTCGGTCCTGCTGCCGGGCACGAGACGGACACAGTCCTGCTGCCGGGCGCGAGATGAGCAATGGACCGCAACTGGGAGCAGTCCCGCCCTATGACGAGGGTAGAGCCCGGACGACGAGGGGAGGAATCGAAGGTCGAGACAGGCCGCTCACTGACGGCCGACGCCGGAGGGGACCAGCCGCAACCGTGAAATGATCCAGACCACCACCATGAGCTACCACCACGCCGTGGCAGCCACATCCATGCCGAGACCCCGAGGAGCAGCCCCGAGCC